TTGAACTTACACTAAAATGTCCCCTTAACAATATCACATTTATTCCCTATTTAAATAGAATTAGTTTAACGAGTAGGTTTGCTGAAACAAGGAAGGGTAAAAAATTGTGTTTTTTATGTAAAATGTTAAAAGGTACTGTAGTTTAGTAAGAAATTAATGTTTTTTTCCAAATTTGATCAAAATTAGTTCATAAACAAGTAAACTACAATAGTTGACTTATTCTCAATAAGAATAACATGTGAATTTTAAAATTACAACTTTTTTAAATTTTTCTCGTAACCATTAGGCGCATAATAACGCTTCAATATACTAAATTATTTGTTTTTTAAGCTCTACAGAATGGTTTAGAAAGAAATTGTGAAATTTGCGTTTTTAGGGTCAAAAATGGAAAACCCTATTTTACCCCATAAAACAGCCCATAAATGGACAATCATCACGAATCTCGCCGCGATTAAGATATAGCCGCAATCACAAAGAGTCATGGAAGCTGAGATAATCACAGGAGATTATCGCGGATGTTGCCACGTTTGTGTAAGACGCAAATAACGCGACTGCAATTAGCCTATAATGGTGTTGCCACCATCGCAAGTAACGATCAGACATCTTAGTGACGGCCTTTTAGTGAATTTCCTATATAGGGTATAAGCTATCACCGTAGTACTCATGATAATACCTCTGGACCCGGGAATGGCAAGGCGTATAAAAGAAGGTGTTTGCACGCACATCCCCCCACCTCCTCCAATCAGCCAATCAAGTATTTACTGCTTTACTTTTTTTCGGTTAAATAGTAGTGTTATACTGTATAACACTACTACAGTATATTCATTCAGTGTTGAATACAACGCTATTTTGGATATATAAAACTAAATAATAGTGTTATATATTCAATGCTGATTCCTAATGATTGTCATTCAAAAGTCTTTGGAAAATTATAAGAAAACATATGATTTGGTAAAATAAAATGTAAAATAAAATAAAGGGTGGTGGTGGGGTGCAGTGGAGTGGGGAAGAGCCATATTCTGTCTCACTCCCACAGCTCGGTATCTCTCTCTCGCACCAATGCTACGAGGAGGACGCTTTCTAAGCGGCTGACCTATAGCACGCAGATTAACGCGGTTGATATCGTAGCGAGGCTCTCAACGGAAGAGAAGAAACATAGATAAACTTCATGGTACACCCTTGTCTAGCTCTAGTGCGGGTGTCTAGGGCAAAGTCCCACACCGCCTCCTCGCCCTTATGTACTAAAATGCTCAGGGTTGAGGAAAACCCTGCACCTGTGTGATAGGAATTTCCACACAGTGCTCGCCAGTC